TTTCGTTTTATGACATCCAGACTTTAATTGCAAAAGATGGAATTTGAATCCAAATATTTATCGTCAATTATACCTTACGGGGACACAATCCGGGGACACACTATATATATTTTTATATATATTTTTTATTGAGAAAATCGTTTTAGAATTTAATTTAGAACAACTTTTGTATGAAATTTTCTGCTGAGAACGAGTGGAGGGGGGAAATCGTATCGTTTTGTTACAAAAGTTCCGTGCCCTAGTCATCACAGAATCTAAATTGCAGATTTGAGTCTTGAGGCTAAAAAATTCAAAATTCCGAGAAGATATCGGACTTTACGCTCCATCTAGTTCAAATTCAAGGCAGAAGTCTGAATTTTTTTATGCGTAAATTGCAAATTCCAAAAAGATAAAGATTATATCGGATTGAGTCTAAGAAAACGTTTGGAAAAAAGTTTCTAATTCCTTTTTCACGCTCTATATTTTCAATTTGTTAATTATTTATGAAGATATTATATAAAGATATCTGATACTTACAACAATCTGGTGTATTTTTGGAAACTCTTGTTTCATTTTGAAATTGCTTTGAAATACTTAAACCAAAAAGGCTTACTAAATTTAAAACAATTAATATTAGTTTTAAATGTTTCATCTTTACGTAACGTTGATGTATTGATAGATTAAGATGTGTAAGCGTGGAGATGCTGTTTATCTACTTATAGTAAATTAATCTTTCCAACAAATACGTGTCTCGGTCTTATTAGATAAAAAATTATAAAATGTACTTGAGATTAAAAATAACACAAGCACATAAGATAATCTGTATACATTTTCTTCGTGACAACGAGCTTAAAAAATTTCATGTATAACTTCCGTCAATTATCCTTGAATCCTTGACCATGTAGTGTTAATAACACTAATATAACATATGTGAACCGATCAAAATAAGCATGAGTTGACACAAGCAGCAACCTTGCTTATTGATACATCCATAATCGCCTATTTTGTAGAAAAACGTGTTTTAATGTAGGTATTGACATTTTTGTTTTATCTTTACAAATATTACAAGAAATGACTCCATGACTAATATTAACACCAAAATATATTAATCCAAAACTATTAAGACATTCTTATTCCAAGAAGTTTTAACCCAAAATTTTACTACATTGTTCTAAGGGGATTAATCATATTTCTATGAATTGAGTCATAGTATGAAATATATAAAAGGAATATTTTGATCAGAAAATATGATAGTGGAAATAATAAAACATTTAATTTATTGGTGAATTGGATGATTCAAATTGTGGGGGTCAAAAACCAAACCACAAGGGGTCACCACAACAATATTTAATATTGTATTGTAAAACATTGTGTTTGATAATTTTCTGAGGAAAATGAAAGTGATACTCATGAAGTCTTCCAAGATTAAAACTGATGACTCATATTCGGGTTTTAAAAATAAAGAAATTTAAAATCAAGGACAAAAGTTATAAGAAAAATTTCAACAAAACTTTATTAAACACCATTTATTCTACTATTATTAAAACCAAAACAATACCGTTTTTTCTTTTAACATTGAAAATCGATGGCTTCCTCGATGATGATTTTTTTTAACAGTTGAGTTTATTAAATCCAGGAATTCGAACGTAACCATCTTGAAAAACAGTCCGATCATCAGCCTCGTTCATATAATATGTCAGCAATTTTTCGGCTGCTAAAGGATGCCAAACACCAAAGGTACAAGCTTGATTATTCTCTGGTTCATAATAATGGCATCTTTTTGTTATTCGAACCGATGGAATGTATTCGTAGGCGTCGACAAAATCACAATGCGAAAGAAGAAGAGTTATACCTGCATTTACAAAAAAAAAGGATAAAAAATGAATAAAACAATAAAAAGGGGAGACCTAAAAATCCGGATGATGGTGGGTTTCTTCTAAGCCGATTTGGTGAATTACTTTGCAAAAAGTCCCACACCTTCCAAATTGATTGTGGATTCATTATGTAAATTTCACTTTCAGGAAACATTCTTTTATAGCCGATATAATTCGGAAATAGATTGTATTCGGGATTTTGAAACCATTCTTCAACAGTGGACGTATAATTTGACGGATCCCAACCTAATATCGTTACATTTCGAAAGACGGCAGCTCTTAAAAAATCAAATTCTTGTTTTGACATCACTTGTGAGTTAACAATTCGTATTGTAGTCTTTTGACCAACGTCAATTTCAAATCCTTTCGTTGGTGCATTATTAAATCTTAATACAACTTCATAAGAATCTAAAAGTAAAAGTGAAAAGTAAAAATATTTTGGTTTTTTTATGTATTTTTTACCAATTCTTCTTCCACTTCCCGATAAAGTAAAAGATCCAGCGCTAGAAATAACAGCACAAGATTTAAATTGAACATCCTCAAAAATTCCTTTATTCGGAAAATATCCTTTGAATGAATTTAATTTACTTGGAACATCTCTTCTTTGTATAGTATCAATTTTAACATTCCTCAATTCGCAAAGCATATGATTTTGACTTTTTTCCATGTAATTTTCCCTCGGCCCTTGATAATTTACGTTGTAACTATTATCTTTACCACCAGGTTTTAAAACGTTACCCTCATCCAAGAACACCCTTTTCATCTCGTTAATCAATTTATCTTTAAATGATTGCGTTTTTTCGTTACAAGCTATTTTCGAATCGTTCGATTTACAAACAAATTTTTTCGAATCGAATATAAACTCAGATTTCTGAACATTTGGAAACCTCGGTTTACTATTTCTTACAACTGTAATGTTATCGATGCTTGAAGATGAGTGTTTTATGCGATTTTTAATCTCTGACGTGCTTGTATCGTCGTATTTTGACGAATCGTTTACGAGAAAACCTCGATTGTATAGGTAGATTTGTTGGTCGTAATTGTTTGTGGACGATTCTAGGTCTTTATCTGAATTTAACCAGTATTGGGACCAAAGTAGGTACATGTAGCCGCACATTCCGAAGAAAAGAAGGTTTATAAATACCCATACTGTTACTGCTAAAGCCCTCATTTTATCTAAAAAAAATAAAAATAAAGTAGTTACCTAATAGGTCCTATACACCTGGAAACAAATCAGTAAAAAATAATCAATTTAATAAAAATTTATCACAATCTAACCCTGAATACACAGGAAAAAATATAGAGTAAAAATCAAATCTAAAACATGGTTCAGATCGGTCCAATTTATTTAGAGTTATTTTTTTGCACTATATAGTGTAGGTGAATAGATTAAAAATTTACACTAAATAGTGAGAAGATGGTGTTTATTAAATAGTGTAAAATCGTTACTCTTTTTTTTTTTTTAATATCAACAATAACCAGCTCAACATTACAATGTTCTTTCATGGTTTTTATAATATAATAAGGTGGTTTCACAATGATACGTGGGAAACAAATGTCTTCCTGAAACTATTCACTGTTTATTAGAATATCTTCTTCTGCCAGGTTGTCTTGGGGAAGTTTTCTTTTTAGTCGAGTATGGATTCCTAGCTCTCCCAGGTGATGACTGCGTGCACTTGGACACTTTTGCAAATTTTCCAGATATTTCCTCGTTGTTTTGTTAATATGTTCATTGATCGTTTCTATATGCAATTCTTCATGTATTTGCGAATTCCGCACAAACCACGGCGCATCTACAGCTATTCTTAATATTTTGTTTTGCAGAATTTGGATTTTGTTGATGTTTGCTTTAGCTGATGAACTCCAAACTGGGCATGCATATGTTACTATAGGTCTTATTAATGATTTATAAAGTAGCACTGCACATTCAATTTTTAATTTTGATCTTCTATTAATGATAGGGTATAGTTCGTGTAATCTGACGTATGCTTCCTTTAATTTTTTGTTAATATGGTACTTCCATGTGAGCCTTTGGTCCAAGTAAACACCCAGATATTTAACTGCGCTATCTTTCGGATTCCAATTTAAATGATGATCATCTATTGTTATCAACGTGGGATTTTTGACTTGTCTAAGAGTGAATATCTTGGCCTCACACTTACTGGGATTTAAGTGGAAACACCATGTTGACAGCCACTTATTAATTTCATTAATTGAAATTTGCAGATCTTTGATAGATTGTTCCTGGTTTTCATTTTGCGTTATGATAACCATGTCGTCTGCAAATAATGCTTTTTGCTCATTTTCGTGAATTGGAATATCATGTAAGCAGATATTAAATAGAAGAGGTGAGAGAACGCTGCCCTGTGGAACTCCTGACTTGATGGGTTTTGATTCCGATGTATAAGCATTCACTCTAACGCAAAATTTTCTATCTTCAAGAAATGAGTAAATTAATGCTTTAAGGTATTCCGGAATGTTAGTTTTCAGGACCTTATAGATTAAGCCATATAGCCATACTGAATCAAAGGCTTTAGATATGTCTAAGAACGCAGCTGTTGTGTACTGTTTATTTTCGTACCCTCTTTCTATTATCTCGACTACTCTTGTTAGCTGATGTACTGTTGAGTGACCAGGTGTAAAACCATATTGGATGTTAGGTATGATTGTGATTTTGGGTCGTAAGCGTTCAAAAATCAGTTTTTCGAAAAGTTTACCCAAGGTTGGAAGCAAGCTAATTGGTCTATAGTTTTCAAGATTTCGTTTATTTTTCCCGGGTTTCTTAAACATTAATATTTCAGCCTCTTTCCATGTTTTAGGAAAATATCCCATATTCATACATATATTGAAGATGGAACTTAATATATTTAAAGTCTTATTCGGTAGATTTTTTATCACAGCATTGGGAATGAGGTCGTGGCCAGGAGCTTTTTTAATTGGTAACTTTTTGATAAGCGTTTGCAGTTCTTCTGGTGTTACATGATCTATGGTACTATTGTTAACAGGAAGATTAGTTTCTACATGCTGTCGAATTTTATTTGTGAATGAAAAGCTAGCTTTTGAGAATTGTGGAGTGAATGTTTTCTCTAGATAGTTTGAAAAACCTGTGGCTTTCTCAGCATCTGTACTGTAACTATTTCCTTGATAAGTTAATGTTGGCATAGGTTCGCTTTTTTTGATAATTCTTTTCGTTGTTTTCCACATTCCCGGATCATTCGTCTTAATATTTTCTATTAAATTATTGTAAGTATCTATTCGATGTTTATTTAGTTCGTTA